ATGAAAATAAAGTTTTATTGCGAAGTTTCCATTCAGTAACATATTGTAGATAGTAACTGTGAGAAAAATGATCTTTTCTATCAAAGTATTTATTACCCTCTAGATTATTAAAAATTCCTGAGGTCGCCATCTTAGGTGACTTCCATGTGTAAGGGTCCTTGCTTCTTCCGGATTCCTATACAACTCCATTGCCCGCCAAACTGCATGCCCTAACCCATCCCCCAAGCCTTTTAGCCAGTCGGGAAAGATTGTGAACCTTTGACCTGGACAAATCCCAGGTGAGGGGCAGGTACAACTGCGTCAGGGAAATAAGGAGGAGCCACTGTCAGCCATTTTAGGCTTGCATGTTTGCTCAGCTGGAGTGAGCATGTGCTTGCACCCTCTTGATCAAGAGAAAATTGCCTTGTCAAGATATTCGGTCTCTTGTGTGTCTTTGGCACCAGAGGGTTATCAATTCCAACAGCAACTCAAATATTGAACAATTTATTGATGCCTATTCTGTGCCACTACAGAAGACTTTACAGATAGAATGATGTATCACATACACTGACTTGTAAGAGCGATGACCAAGAGAGATATGGCTTTCATGGCATTTTCTTCCTACAATGATAACAAATGAAAACTCAGCATCATATGCTAAGGCACATCATCATTTAAAGATGAAAAGTACAAGAGAAAAGTAGATTGGGAAGGAGCAATCAATAAAATAGGAGGAAGCCATGAGAGGATGATGTCACAGAAAATGAGATGTGTGTATGTATGTTATTTTTTCATTGCTGTGACAAAAACCTGAGAAAGGTAACCTAAAGGGAGGAATTATTTATGTTGGTTTGCTGTTTCAGAGGGTTCAACCTGTGGTTACTTGGTCTCATACACTTCGGCAGAACATCACGGCACAGGACCATGTAGAAGAGGAGGTTCCTCACCTCATGGTGGACAGGAGGCACAGCAAGAAAGGAACTGAAGACCAGGTACAACCCCCAACAGCATACCCCCAGTGACTACTTTCACTTAGACCTCAATTCCTAAAGTCTCTAGAACCTCTGAAAATACAGCTCCCTGCCACCACCCTGTCATTCAACAATAACCCTCTGGGGACATTTTATATTTAAATTATAATACTGTGTCAAAGAGGGAGTGGTTGATTGTGACTAGATTTCCCTGGTAGGCTCATCCTTGAATCATAGCCTCAAGATTTCTCTTCTTGTTTAGCTATCATTTCCCCTATAATCCTTGGTATCTTACTCCGAACAAATCATCCTGTTCAAGAACTTATAAAAGGCTTCCCTTTATAACAGCTCTGCACTGGCCTTGTTCATTTTTCTGTCTAAAACTTTACTTTCTTAACAGTCACATCTCTTCCTTGATGCCTTTAAAGGCCTGCCTATAAATCTTTGAAGGTGAAGCTCATATACGATCTTCACAGAAGCTCTCTCCAACAATTTTGGCCCACCTAGCTTTCTCTTTTCTCTAAAATAAATAAAAACATAAAAATCAATTAAACATCTGTGTCAGGCTCTGAGCCATATCTTAGAACTACAATGAATGAATACAGTTAGAACTACAATGAATACAGTTCTTGCTCTCTAGGAAGGAAGTAATTATTCTTATCAGTCCACCCCATTAATGCATTTAGGAAAAAAGGATTTTGTCTAAGTATCTGATCCTGAGTCAGTCTTTCAGCTCCTAGTGTGCTATATTTCACTCTACTCCACCTAGTTCTGTCATGGTTTACCATACCCACATTTGTTGATTATCTCCTGACAGTACTGGATCATAGCTCCTCAAGACAGAATGTTGCTACTCCTACTAGTCATCAGTGGTAAAGATTAGTACACATAGTACTTTTCCCAAAGTCTGAGTTATAATCAATCCAGAACAACACTCAGAGGTATGTAGGTGTGCTGATGCTCCTGATGCAGACTCTGGTTGGACCTCAACTGAACAATCTAGGGTTTTCTGACACTCCAAGCTGACTATTTTATTTTTTTTTTTTGGCGATAGAGCAAATTGAACTCAGGGCTTTGTGCTTGCTAAGAAGGTGCTCTACCAGTAGGGCATGCCCCAGTGCTTTTGCTTTTAGTTGTTTCTTTTTTTCCAGCTAGGGTCTCATGCTTTTGCCCAGGATGGCTTGGACCATCAACCTCCTACCTCTGCCTCCCAGGGAGTGGGATTATAGGCACATACGACATTTATTCCTTTTTATCATCTCTTTGTCTGAGTAAAATGCAGAGGGTTCTGCATACATGTGGGTTCACCCAATCAGGAACCATTGCATCAACCCCTCCCCCCCATCCCTCAAGAACTAATAGTAATTTTGAGAGGCAATACGTTAAAAATTCATGCTGTGATCTTCCTAACTATAAACTTTTCTGGGAAGCAATTTCTACCATGTTGTGCAGTACAGTCAATTTCCCTTCTTTCCATCTGTTTGCTTCAAACTCTGCCCTCTTGATCTCAAATTGGAATCTACTACAATGCTATCATTTAACAGTCAGTACTTTAGTATGCCAAGAGCTGGCAGAAACTTTGAAATTATATGATTAAAAGAGTGTACAGTCAGGATTTAGTCTAGTTCTTGAGCAGGGTGAAAGGAGGGGTATTCTTCTGTAATCTCTAAATGAGGAAGGGGGTATTAAAAGTCTTTATTTGTATTCTTATTTTGGCAGCACTGGGGTTTGAACTCAGGAACTCACACTTGTTAGGCAAGTACTTTTACCACTTGAGCCACTCAGCCAGCCCTTTTATTGTGATGGATTCTTTTTGAGATAGGGTCTCAGGAACTATTTGCCTCAGGCTGGCTTCAAATCTTGATCCTCCTGATCTCTGCCTCCTAAGTAGCTAAGATTACAGGCGTGAGCCATGGGTGCCCAGTTTAAAAGCCTTTATTATCTATAGTTCATATTATTTCTCAACAGTGAAAGTGGTGGTTGCTCGGTCAGTTATATTTACAGAAAGAATTATAGTATGAGATAATTGTTATAAGAGAAATAAATCTTAAAAGGTAAAGGAAGAACAAATATGTCTTAAGAAGCTATAAAAAGACCCACCAGAAGGTAAGTATTCAACTCAGACCCAAAGAGTGTGAGAGCTGAGTGGTAGTAGGATGTCTGAATAGCAGTGAGTTTAGGATGGCTAGTGTAAATAAGGAAAGAATAGCAGGCTAAATTAACAGTTTGATGTCAGATCATGAAGGGTCCAACAGGTGATGGGGGTATGATAACATTCTTAGCAGAGGAGTATCATGATCACATTTTCATGTTAGAGAAATTACTAATAGTAATGGATGTTGGACTGGAGTAGGGAGTAACTGGAGGACATAAGTGGCTATTGCAGTAGTCCAAGGGAGATGAGTCAGAAGAGATGATGTCTACTTGAAGGACTAAGACAGTGAGAGTGGAGATGAAAAAGAGGGGTAGATTTGAGAGCTACTTAGCAGAGAAATAAGTGAAGAAAACTTGATATTATGATACAAGGAACAAAAAGAGATGTAACAGGGATACTTATGGACTTGAACAACTGGATGCCCTTATGGAAATGGCCCACACTTCAGATGGGTGAAGAGAGATGGCATTAGGAGTAAGTTATGGTAAATTTACTCACACCTATTTGGGACATATTTAAGTCACTTGTGTGAAGTCCAAATAAAGCTGCTGTTACTTAAAAGGTCTAACGTGAAGATACACATCTTGGAGTCCTTGGCACACAGGAGATAGTTGGTGGGTTAAGAGTGTGATGGGAAACTGCTCAAGGAGACCTAAGAATAACAAACAAAAGGAAATGGAGTGCTGGGGAAAGAAAAACAAAGTGCATCAGAGAGGTAGTGAAAATAGGAGGAAAAATGGCATTAGAGAAACTAAGAGGAGGGTTACTGTTGCTCTTATTAATCTAAAAATGTTAAGAGTAGGGTTTTTTTTTCCTTCTCCCCACAGTTTAATTTCATTTTGTTTTCCTCAGTGCCAGATTCAAGAAACATGGTAAATGCTCAAAAAATAAAAAGAAAAAAGAAAACAGCACCCCCCCCACACACAAAATTCTAAGTGAGGCGGTTTCAAGCACGATAAATCAGTCGTACCTGCCTCCAAATCAACCTTCAATGTCTCTTCGTGCTATTATTCTTCAAATAAATTTTTAGTTACCTATGAGTTCACCTAAATCTATTTTTATCATTATGTTCTACTCGCACCAGCTTTGGAATGAGTACTCAAACCTCATTTATCTAACTTTTGAGAGCTTGATGTCAACGATAGCATTAGGTTTTTCTTTCCCTTCTATTCCTAGGAAACATTAAACAAAACAAAACAAAAAACCCTCAAAGGCCAAAATCCAAAGTTTTGCCCAATTCCCAGCAATAGCTTATAATTCAAAACCTGTTCAAAAGCGCGGAAAGGAGGCAGCCAATTTTTCCTGACAACCATTAACCGGGTCAACATGCTTATTAAACCTTTCATTTTATTAATGATCACGAAACAACCGGTTGGGGAATACACACTCACGCCAGTGGAAGCCATTTAACTGCAAACAGGTCGTAATGACTCACAGAGAGCTAAAGGCAACTGGGTATCCGCATGGGGTTTTGACGCCAACGCCGTACAGCTGGTTCTCTCTCAGGTAACACCACCTAACCTCAGCTTAGTTCTCCGGTGAATCGGCGTTCCCGAGCGCACGAAATGCCGAATAAATGGCCAAAAGCACCAGAAAATTTGCCTGGGGAACTTAACTAGCCCCTGTCTCCCGTAACAACAGTCTACAAAACCCAGAGCCACGTTCCGCCGACAGCTAAGCACGGGGAGCGAGAAATGGTCAACTCCTACTCTCGCGGGATCTCGCGCCCCAGCTGTAAGCCAACTGGATCGCGCGCGCCCTTCCAACCCCCGCGGGAATAGACTTCAGCAGGTCCGGAAAGCCGGAATTCGGCGGCGGGGGCGGGGCTAGTGCGGTGAGCTCAGAGGCGGGTCTAGCCCCGAGGGGCGGGGCGGACTCAAAGGGAGGAGAGGGCGGGACTCCGGAGACCTGTTGATCGCAGGTGCCGTAGTCTTGACTGGCCCCGGGGTGTCAGGGTGTGTGCGCATGCTCCGTGAGGGGTTGGGCTCCGGGAGGCGTAGACCCGTAGCCTGTGCTTCAGTTCCTGGGGAACCTCGCTAAGGTGGCAGCTGTTGGTGTGTCTGTCGGATGTCTGCGTGAGGCGGTGCAGGGTCAGCTGGAGGTAGCTCTGTGGGAATGGAATGCCCGTATTTCTCTACCTGAACCACACGCTCCTGGTGCTGGGAGGGTAGAGCTCAAGGTAAGTCTCCGAAACTAGTCGCTGGATGCAGATCCCAGGACCTGTGACCCTTCCGGGCCTGACTTGACGCCCTCTTGTGAGCTCTGCGGCTCTCTTCGCCCGCGAGCCCTCAGGGCAGAACCCAGGCTCTGGGCCAAGCAGTTCGTGTGCCGGAGTCCCGCAGCGCCTTTCCCGCCGCGCTCCAGCCCCGGCGGAGCTGCCTCTGGCCCGGCTGGAGTCGCGGGCGAGCGAGAGGAGGTGCAGTACTTACTGGGTCGTGGTTGTTGTTGCCGTGTTTGAGGGCGGGGAAGGGACAGAATCTGGAGTCCTGCTGCAGTCTCTTGGTGCATTTGGGGTGAGCTGTATTACGCCTACTTGGCGCCTGCCCCTCACTTTCTGAGTCACACTGTCTTTCCCAAGCGCACAACCTTTAAAGGGGGTCCAGGAGAGGAGAGTGGACTAGTTCGTGACAGTCTTGGGCTTGGAGGCTTCTCGGTGGTGGTAAGGATGTATAAAGTTAATGTTTAGCTTCTAAACGGCGGCTGTGGGGCAATTACCTACTACTTTTCAACAGCGTTGGAGAACAGGAAGTGCGTGCACAGGTGTAACTTAGGAGGGTTTCTAAAAGCCTGCAATCTGAACCTGGTCTGAGGTTTTGTTCTCCCGCTACAAGGTTTTCTTTATTAATGCAGAGCTTGACTAATGCTTGCAAGCTGTGTTGCAGACCTTTATCTGGTAGGCAGCAAAGTTTTTCAAATGTTTCCTTATCTGGAAATGTATATGTACTTATATTTCCAGGAATTTTCAAGGCTATTTTTGAGTTACATTTAACTGTAGTTTTAGGAACTTCGTTGTGATTAGGATCTGATTAGCTGCTAATTTGTTCTTTAGGTAATACCTTGCTATTTTTCACTGTTTAAAAGGACTAGCAAGTGTTAAAATTATGATAGAAATGAAATTTTGAACGGACTGGTGGAATGGCTCAAGTGATAGAGCGTCTGCCTAGATATGAACTTTTGGTCAAAGGATACATACTTGTTAGTCAGTTTTATTTTCTGTTCCGTGATGATGCGCTGGGCAAAAGATCCTTAATAGCTTAAAGAGAAATTTAAAGGAAAAAGATGAACAAAACTTACGCTGCAAAAGTAATATGTGATTTACCTGCCCTTGTCTTAAGAATTCCAAATAGACGCTCAAGGTAGGTAAGAGCTGTAGTATGAGAAACAAGATTTCTGTTTTATATTAGAAGCTTTTAAAATGAGCTCCTTTGGACAGTTTGTTTAGCTTTAAGATTACTGGTTATAAACTATGAAAGTGATTTATTTAAACTTGTTCATAAATCAAACTAGTAGTAGTTTGTGTATTTTCTCTTAAAGTGTGAAAAATAAGACCAAAACCAGACCTTTCCTTTTCCCTGTGAATTAAAAAAAAAAAATTGTAAAATTCATGGAATTTGACACTAATAATAATATTTTCTCTAAAAGATGCATGAAATAGTTTTTTTGTTTGTTTGTTTTGATACTGGAGCTTGAACCCAGGGCTTCATACTTGTTAGGCAAGCACTCTAAAAAGTAATTTTAAAATTTTGCTATTTTAATGGTACCTAGCTTATTCTTTTCCTTAAAAAATGCACATCACAGTACATGTGATTTCAGTATTCACTGTGATCAAGATCTTTTATATTGTTTAGTGTAAAATGATTTTTTATTTTACACTTTCAAGAAATACAATTTTAGTACCATAAGGTTTAGAAGTTTGTTTTGGCAAGATAAAGTTTAAAAATGAAAATTTTAAATTCTATTTTAAGGTAATATTACACTTTTAATAAGAAAGAAATCATTTCCCTTTTGCAACTTTTTGGAGCTCAGCTGCTGTGCAAGAGGGATGTTGCTTGACCCTACAGCTTTCTGAAAATATATTTGATATCTGTAAAGTGGTGGATTAAGCTATCCTGTAAAGATGTTTATTTACCAAAATACTTAGCAGATCTTGTTATTTCACAGCTTTAACCATAGGTATTTTTAAATTATAGACCCTAAAGACAACATACAGAAAGCTTGGAAGCATCTGGAAATATTTTGAACACAGTGCTAGTTGTGGAAGCACTTACCCATGAGTTCTTGTTTCAGGAAGGAAATTGTTGATTTAAGTCATCTCTGAACAGCTAGGTAGGAATTGGTGATGCAAATCTAGCATTATTATATTATTCATTTCATATTGATGAAATGATTTTAGAAAATAATACTTTATAGTATATGCACATAGCAAGAACAAGAATTAGAAGCTACTTGCTCTACAAGAGATAAAAATCCTTAAAGGACCATTTAAACTTTAAATAACTTTATGTAGGGTGCTAACCGTGGCAACTTAAGATGAGGTTTTTTTATTAATTAATATTAGCAACACTACAGATACTACACATATAGAATATTTAGCCAAAAATATTTGTACATTGCTTTTCTAAGTTAATTCATCTTCTCTATCAGTTCTTGAGTTGAAGATCCATGATTATGCCTGTGGTCTCAGACTCTTCCTGCCTCAGCCTCCCAAGTGTATACCACCTCCCAGGCCTGTATCACCAAGCCTGGTTTAGAACTGAATTTAATCTTCTTTTTTTTGTTTTTGCAGCACTGGGTTTTGGATTCTGAGTCTCTACCACCCCCAGCTGAATTTTAATGTAATAGGTTTTCCATGTAGTCTTATGCTTTTTTTCATGTCTTTTTTTCCAGTCTTATAACTAACTTTATGCATTTTGAAACATTCAGAGAAGGTTTTATTAGGCCACCAAAAATGTTCATGACATGAACAAAGGTTACACACCATTGCGCCTAGTTAAAGAATTTTTGTTTTATATGGGACTTCAGAAAAAATGTTTCATATATTCATACCTATTCATAAAATAAAAGTTTATGCAATGTAAATCTTATTTTATTATCTTAACTGTTTTAAAGAACAATTATCAGTTATCTGAGTCGTCATGGTAATTTTGAAATAATTTGAAGATAATTACTGCCCCTTCCCTCCCCCCACAATAAAAAAGGAGTTTTGGATGTCTTTTACTTACCTTCTGTGCTCTTCTGGGCTACCAAATTTATTTAGTAAACATTTATTGACCTTCTGTTGTAGGTTTGTCAGAGTGCTAGGCACTAGAGACTCAAACACTCGTAAGATGATGTTAAAATAGTCATAACTAAGAATTCTTCCTTTTGTAAGCATTTGTTTCTGCTATTCTCAACCTCCCCTAAATATACTGAGTTTCCAAAGGTAAAGTAGTCTGACTTTTTTTTTTAATATCTTAAACTTTGCAAGTTTCTTCTTCTCTTCCCATTTCCTTTCAATTTTCTAATCACACCATACCCATGAAGCATATTCTGATCTAACAAAGGACAGTAGGTGACTTTATCCTTGTGTTATCACTGTACTCTGTATGTCCCTTTGTTTGAGAGTTACACTTTGTTTCTGTAGAATGGAGACAGAGTAACTAAGGGAATGTGAAGATGAGGATATGTAAATGTCATCTTAAGTATAAGAAGAATACTGGACAGACAAAGCAAGCAGGGAAGGCATTCTTAGAGACCAGAGACGTGAACAATATCCAGGTGCATTTTGGGTCTCTAGGTTTTTTTCATGCCTAGATGGATAATCTAGGCATATTATTTGATAAATAATTATTATTAAGAAAATTTGTAGTTGTTTTTCTGAACAATTATATGTTGGTTGAATTTTTGTAAATTAAATCTTCTCTTTGCTTACATTGTTATTTAGAATTGCTTTATCTTTTTGGTACATAGGCTTGTAACATTTTAATTCAGTATCTCCTTCCTCCCTAGTCCAAAAAATTTGTAAATGAATGTTTAAGATAAATGCTATGGGAAATCCACTTATAAAATGAAGTTTTCTCAAACATTCATTTTGTAACTTAGGGTTTTTCATACTTTTTTTTTTTAAGATAAGATAACTTCATAAATAATTATCATCTGAGAACAACTTACAGGTTTTAAAATTAAGGAATTGACATTTCCTTATATAATTTATCTGATCTCATTAATCTGCATTAAAGTTATAGTTAAGTTTTAGTTTGAGCAGATGGAGAAAATAGCAAAATGAAAAAATATATAATACAGCTTTTACTTCTTTCAACTGATTATATTGTTAAAATAATTTTACATTGAAGATAGTTGTTAATTAGCTTGCATTTATTGATTGCCTACTGTGGTTGAGGTCTTTATTGTATTTCATACATAGTTTCTGATTCTCACAATAATCCCAAGAATCTTTTTTATGTAGATTATGATTATAGTTGAAACCGATTGAGTAATGTGGTTGAGTAATGTGTTGGTGGAATTTTATCAGAAGGGGAATTAATAGTTAAGAGGATCTTCAGGTCAAAATCTGAACATGGATTCCATTTTTGTCAAGAACTCATCTGGGCATTCTTTGTACATCAGATGCTTAGTGCTTTGGTGGCTTCTACACTCCTCAGCCTGCAGAGTAAACTCTTGTTTTTCTCCTGATTGCCCTCCCATACTTAGGCGAGCAGGTTGTGTGAGTACTACAAGATTTTTCCTTCCATATGTTGCTGCTACATAGACATGATATACTCCTACCCCTTTGTCAGTATAGTACTGACACTGATATACCTGCCAGACGGTGGGAAATTGTCCTATACCTGTGCCTAGGTAATTTTGTTAGGAACAGTGATTTCAGAGGACTTGTTTAAGATTTCTCTTTATTTCCTGAGCTTCATTCAAAAAATGCTTAATGTGTACACTTACCCTGGGCTGTGTACTGTTTTAGATGCTTGGAATTTGCTGTACATTCTAACAGAATTAAGAGGAGAGATAAGTAAGTAAGTAAGTAACATAGTAAGTCAATTATATAGTGTATTAGAAGTGAATAGTGCCAAGGAGAAAAGGAAAAGAAGAGCAGGGCAAGGGGTTTGGGAATGTGAGGTGGAGATCATAGTGGTTTGCAGTTTTAAGTAAGTATAGGCTGCATTTAGAAGGTGAGCTTTTTTAGCA